CTGTTTATTTAAGTACTGTTACTGTGCAAGTTGAGGCAAATGTACCAAGCAATATCTGTGATGACTAAATGAATGTCTGCCCAGCAGGAGTGTGTATGCGTGCATGCCACGTGCTTTCTGAGCTGGGGTGTGGGTGCGTGCCTGTATGTGCCTTTGGGCCTGCAGATAAAAATACAGTGGTCTGATGTGGGATACCAGAGCAAGTCCTGCCATTGAGATTTTAGGTGGCTCAGTGCAACAAAACAGCTGTTTGTGCAGTGGTTGTGTTCCCAGGTGCTCAACACACAGAACTGGAGCCGAACTGCACAATTTCTGGTGCATTCCTGTTGTCTGGTTTGTCCTAAGGGTTCAGTCTCAGTAGGATGACAGCCCAAGAAAATCAGGCCATGGAATGGTTTCACTTTTGAAGTGACGCCTGCCTTGCCTGGCAGTTATGCACCGTGTGTTCTTACCCAGCTGGGAGATTGTGGCTTGCAGTCAGACAGGGCAGGATGAGCTCACTCTGATTTTCCTTTTTCTTATTTTGAGATGTTTGTATAGGCAGGTCATCCTTTCCTTCTTGCTGTTCATGTAGGTGCTTCACTATTACTTCATTCTCTTGTACTTCATTACTAGCATCTCGCAATCTTTCATGTATTTGAGCCAGCATGCCTCATAAATGGTTGCCAAAATTGCTTTACCAGACAGTCCCCTCATTATAAGTATGGATTTTACTAACCCCAGAAGAGGTTGTTGCTGTTCACTGGCCAAAGTAGCCTATACTGGCGAAAGCACTTTTGAGGCAGTGAGATTGTGTTGCTGTAGGGCTTTTACCAATACACCAGTCGCCTGGAGCCTGTCATGCCTCGCAGCTGGCACTCCTCTGTCAGCAGCACTCTGTCAGTGCAGATCCTTACATTACTGGGTTTGGAGAAAGATGAGGGTCCTGTGCTGGGGAGGAAGAGCAGAGGCAATGAACAGACTAAGGGACTTGCCCAAAGCCATGCAGAAAGTGTGTGTCAGAGTGGAGAATTGGATTCAAGCTGTTCAACTCTCAGTTTCTTGAATTAATCTTCAAGCTGTTACCCCTCCCTTTCATGTGCAGGTTCTATTGCACAGAGTTTGTCCTTTTTTGTCCATCCCATATTAAGGTATTTTGTTTTAGTTAGAACATTATTTCTCCTTGTCACTTACACTGCACTGTGTGTAGGCATAGTAGGAACCTGTTGTTGATTTCTGGCGAATTACATAAAAATACATCTCTTCATCGTATGACTAAACTTCACAGCCTGTATCCCACGGTTGCTTGCTGAAGTTTAACTTGCTGATGAAGGTACTGTCTATTGGACTGGACCAAATGAACTTCACTGTGGAACTGCTTTTGGTACTCTAATCACTTTTTCAGTTAGCAAAGCGCTTCCCGTTATGAAGCTCACATTTGATTAATATATTTTTATACGTTTGTAAATACACCCATGTGGCATAGTTTGCCATTTTCTGTCTACTGGAGAGCTCGTTCGTAATTATCAATGTGATTCAGAAGAGACCTTTGCCTCGGTGTTTTAAAACAGAATATAACTGTATGTGTTAATGAAATTTGCTTGTTCTTGTTTGGTTTCAAGAGTGATTCGTGTCTCTTCTGAGGGTCTCTTACAAAGATGACTGAAGTCATGAGACCCTGGTCACATCAGTAAATTCAGGATGAGGCCCCCCATGTTCATCCCGGTGCTGTGGCGCAGATCAACACCTCTGTGCTTTTTGGGGCCATGAGGCTCAGAGTCCAAAGTCACCCTTAGCGTGCAAAGCAGATCATGGCTAACCTCTCCACTGCCTGGGGTCTTTGGGAAAGGCATTTCACCAACGTCTCCTACCCTCACTAGCTTTCCCTGAAGACCAGCGAAGCTCCCTAAAGCCTGACCCAGTCTTTGCAGGCAATGGGAGGCAACAGGCCACCCTGTGTGAGACAAGGAGCCCAAACATGTGACTTCCAAAGAGAGGGTCTGGAGAGAGCTGCCTTTCCCTGAACAGCTCACTGGGTGAGTCATTAAGCATGCAGAGGCAGCCAGTGCCATCAGCTCTGCTCCTGGCTAGGAAGGATAGATCAAACAGGAGACAGCCCTGATTGCTTTCTGATTCATGGCTTGCCGCCATCCCTTCGTGAATCACTGTGCTTTATCAACCTGCAGCTGTTCCCTGCCAGCTTTCTGGAACCAGACATATCCTTTCCTCCCAGCGGCAAAGCCGAGCTGCCTGAAAGACCTGTACGTGGTGCTCGGTGGAGCAGGACCTGCAGTCTTGAGGGGAATTTCAGACTGTGTGTCATCTTAGTGCAAGTGCAGTCTCAGCTGTGTGTCTGCCCAGTCCTCACCCAGGGCAAGATGCTGCTCGGTCTAGGATTTGTGAGCCCTCAGATCAGAAGGAGGGACAAGTTAGCATCCCTTGCTAGGGCCCAGCACCTACTATATGGTGGTAAATGGAAATACCTGTAGTGGCTTTTTTTTTTTTGCAGGGGACATACTTTGAGGGGAAGGGGGAAAGGTTCCGGAAATCCTCTGGAGCAAGAGGGGAACTGGGCCAAGGAGCTGGGCCAAGGACAGTAAGCATTGTTACTGTCCCCTGACTATCAGTAATATGAACCAGGGTCAGTCTCAGCAAACCTGTGGTGTATTTTCCTCTCCGTATGGTCTGATGATAGCAGAGGTGAGCAAAAAGCCAAGCGCAGCCCTTAGTCTGTTACTGGAGGGCATTTCTCGGGTCTGGACTGAGGTACCTGTTTTGGGTTGTGCAGGTGTGTGTGGCTGTGGCAGCCTGCCTCACTGCTGCCGTTCCTGTTCTGTGGTGAAGTGAAGCCTCTGGGAGCTGTAAATCTGTCACCTTCCATGAATGTTGCATTCGCGGGGCGTCTTCTCATTGAGAATTTACAAGTCTGCTCAGCGCACACAGTGCCACCAGCATCCATTCCTCCCCACTGCCTCAGGCCTTTTTGTGCTGCAACATGGTAATTAATCTCAGCATTGCTGGAGGTTCTGATCTCTTCTGAAGATAAGAGAGCTTTGAAGAGTTATTCTCCTTGATATATGCCACAATCTCAGAGCTGCTCCCTTTGCTAGTGAAACAGCTTTCTGCTGCCAACTGTTGTTGCCAGATGTTATTCTAGAGAAAAAATTTTCTCATGAAATGGTGATGGTGGACAGGCATGGGTGGGACTGCTGGCATGTTCTCAGCTTGCCTTTCCCAGTAAGCTTCATTTATTAATTTCGAAAGCACAGGCCTGGCTGGGGTTTTTGAGCAGACTGGTGTGAAGCAAAAGGAAACAGTTCCCTGCAAATAAAATGCAGTTATGTTGCAGAATGGGTGGCAGCTGTTCCCAGCCTTGGTTCATCTGGCTCTAAAAACAGATGTTAGCATTGTAGCAGCAAAGAGAATACTGACTGACTGACCCAACCTGATAACCACTTGATGTGCAGCCTGGCTGTGCGTACCCATTGCTAGCTTTCTTTACTGTTAGGTGTTTTGCAGTGGGCTTGCCAATGTAGATGAGTGTCTGTACTGCATGGCTGGGTTGCAGCTGCAATGAGTCCCTGGAGGAAATTTGCATCTTGTGTGGGAACAAGTTTTGTAATCTAAGTGAACGTGAGCTTCATGCCTCTGGAAAAGGGGACGGTCTATTTGCATGTCTGCTTCCAGGGGAAATTGCTGATTTAGGAAAGCATTTTGCTCTGATATGCGTACAAGATGTTTGCGTTATTTCCCGCTGGCTGGTAGGGGAGGAAAGGGGTAATTTTTTTAATTGAATGCAGGAGAGGTGGTGTAGATGTGGTTGCACTTCTGCAAGCTACCTCATACAGGTGATGCTGACAGTGATGCTCTGGGCAGTGCCTTTGTCCTGTCTGCCTGGTCAGGCAGTTGTGAGAACACTTTTTTTCTGTGGCGTTCAGACCTTCTGGCATTAACAGGAGGCGATGAAGTGATGTGGAGCTGCACTTGCTGCAGAGCTCCTTCAGAAACCTGCTTGACAGTGCAGCAGATTTGTAACACTGCACTGGGACTGACCCACAATGAACTCCCATTCGTTATGTATCTGCAGTGGTGTTTTATGCTGTCAGATCATCTGAAGCCAATGGTTATGTTTCTTCCTTTTAGTAGCAGGGACAGCTGCCCTAGGAGACAGCTGGCGAGTAAGAAGGGCCATGAGAAATAAGCAGAGTGAAGAAGAGAGTTAATTACTCCAAGCCCAGTAGTACTGGTGTTCAAAAAGAATAGGGTATTTGAGTACTTTCATATGAAGAACGTACGTAACAAGTAGGTACTCAGTTACAGTTGCAAAGATTAAAAATACCCCAAACTTAGATAGGGATCTATTTCAGGCAGTTGTAATTAGTGCCAGCGAGGAAAGAATATTCTTTGGAGACAGATTATTCCATAAATGTCAAAGACAGAGGTTTCTGTTGCTGTCTTCAGAAGCACCAGTTACAGGCTGCAGTCAGGAGCCAGATACTGGGATTTTCTGGATAACAGGTCTGGGATTTCATTTATTTCAGTTCAAATAGGAAGAAGTGAGCATGAACTATACTGAAGTTTACTCACTGTAATGTTGATCACAGCTCATGGTTTTTGCTTGACCACTTGCACAACGGTAGGCCTGATCCCTCCACTGCAAATATTGATCTAAAGGTAGATGAGTCTCCAGAAGTGACAGCAGGATGGGGAGAGAGGAGGAGGATGAAAGCAGTACAGGAAGGCCACACGCTGGTACCAGCTGCCTCCCTTTCACACTGTGCGAGGTCTCGTGATGTGTAGGTCACCCAAATGGATACAAGAGCTCTTTATCTAAGCAAGCACTGTCTTGCATCCCTGAAGACACTTGAAAGATTTGCTCACTGGCTTACTTCAGCAAAAGGTCAGAAGTGTGAGTTCTTGCAGGAGGAGAGTAGTAATTCTCCTTTTGGGAGAAGGGGTGTGATGACTGACTGACTCAAGCTTTTCTGATTGTTTTTTCAGGAACTTGCTGAGCCAGAAAGATGCGTGAGTATACGGAAAAGAAGGAAACATGTGGGACCATCTGTCTCAAGTACCTGCTCTTCATCTTCAACTTTTTTTTCTGGGTAAGAAGCTTCAGTGTATTTCAGAGTCACTGAGATGGCACTGCAGTTTTGGTGTCAGGAACACAGAAATCTTGGGCTTGATGAAGTCTTTGGCAAAAAGTGCTGACATCAGTAGCATACAGATTTAATCTGGTGGGATGAAATCCCATCCATTGGGCTTGCCTGCCCAGGCTGCAGAAGTTAGGGTTTGACACTGCAGTCTCTGGCTGTTTCTAGGTCACGTTACTAAGTACGGAAAAATAACAGGGAGCCTTTGAAAGCATGCTGTGTCTCTGCTTTGTTTTTTCACCTGGATTGCTTTTTCAGGGAGTCTGAGGACTCCACTGTCCTTTCCTCCTTCTCAGAATGGCAGTCCTGGCAGTGGAGTGGCATAGCTAGAGCAAGGATAACAAACACCTTCTTGCAGCTGGGTCCACGGTACAGCTTCCTAGAGTCATGCTTTCCACTAGAAAGTTACTGATGCCAAAGGATTGTTTTTTTCTTTGCTGCCTGGGACAGAGCATGGGAACATCCAGGTCAGACCTTTAAGGAAAGCTCTATCTGAGCCTACTAGAAGCTGCATAAAACCCTCCAGAAACACAAGGGATTTCTAGGAGTCTGGATGGCCCTCTCGATGTTCATTTGCTGTAAGGGTTGGACTTCAACCAGCCAGGCTGTTTAGCGCCTTGACTGCTTTCTCCCCAGATGTTTAGTCTAGGAAGCCCATATTGGGCATGGTTACCATTTATTGGTAGTCTTGCTCCCTGACAAACAGCGTAAAGCTTGCTGATGTAAAGCTGTTTTCTTCCTCTTTCCGGCTAGGTAGCACCCCAATAGATTTGACATTTTTTTCATATTTGTGCAGATAACAGTGTGGCTACATTTGGAATGGCTCTGGTCCAAGCATGAACTCCTGTGCTCAGGTAGATGCTCCAGATAGCTTGCATCTCAGGCCACCTGGGGTGTGAAATGAGCATACCTTGAAGCCCAGCCCCTCCCAGTGCACAGGGGCCTGCTCCTGGTCCCAGTGAAACCTCTGGGAGTCCTTCCTTTAGTGTATATTATCTTTGGCTTAGCTTACGGAGCTAAGGCAGATCCTGGTATCCAGGTCCAGTTGCTCTGGGAGGTGAGGAAGTTTGTGCATCAGATGCCTCTCATTTGCTTGCTTCTCTTTCTACCCAGCTGGCTGGCGGGGCCGTGATGGCAGTGGGCGCCTGGACCCTAGCTGAGAAGAGTGACTACATCAGCCTGCTCTCCTCCAGCACGTATTCGGCAACTGCTTATATTCTGGCAGATCCTGGTATCCAGGTCCAGTTGCTCTGGGAGGTGAGGAAGTTTGTGCATCAGATGCCTCTCATTTGCTTGCTTCTCTTTCTACCCAGCTGGCTGGCGGGGCCGTGATGGCAGTGGGCGCCTGGACCCTAGCTGAGAAGAGTGACTACATCAGCCTGCTCTCCTCCAGCACGTATTCGGCAACTGCTTATATTCTGGGGG